CCAGCCCCATGCCAGGTAGTGCCTTGGAGGCAGTTGGTGCCATGAGACGGGGGCAGAATAGAACTCCCTTGCTTCCTCACCTACTGTAATCTCTGTAGAATATCAACTCCCCCAGATTACTGAAGCCAGGGGCTTGCTGATGCTTGCTCTGTCACTCGCTCTGTCGGGAAGCATTTGGCAGGACTGTCCTCCGTGTTGCCCTGTAGCTATCTCTTGATTAATTTTAATTTGATCTGTGGGTCTGCTCATAACAACAGTGTAGAGGCTGCTTTTGAAAATGTGCTCCTTTGAGTGGCTGGAGGGACCCTGCTTGCACTCGTCTCGATAACGCAGTCAGTGGGGTACGTAGATCAGAGGTGCTTAGAGGAAGTGGTTTCAAATTGTTCATTTTTACAGGACAACTGTAATTGCTTCCTCTTCAGCTTAGAGAACTGTGCAAGGAAAATGCATTCGTAAAAGGACAAATCGTTACTCTTGAAGAGACTGTAAATGTCCATGAGATGGAAGCAAAAGCTAGCAGAGAAACCATCATGAGGCTGGTTTCAGAAGTAAACAGAGCGCAGAAAAAAGCTGCCTCCTGCACTGAAGAGAAAGACAAGCTGGGCCAGGTACAGTATGTGAAGTGTGCGTGTGCATCTGTGATGGTGTTTACGAAGCAGAAATTGAAAACCAGATGTGGGCGAGCACACTAGCATTACTGGCCACAGTTTCAAAGGGCTGCTGTCAGCAGGCGGCCTGGGGGTGGGGGGCAGCACGGGACTCAGTGACCTCAACGGGCCATTTGATGCGCATTTTTGTCTAATTAGGAAAAAAAAAGAAATACGACACATTTAAACGTAGAGTTTGTAGAGAATGTGCCCTACTTTAGTTAGACTCTAAGGATTTTAAAAATTCAAACATTCATTTTTTTGAACAAATAGGTAATGCATCAACATTCTGAAGTTCAAAATTCTAAATGGACATAAGGGTGTATGGGGAAAGTCTTCCCTGCACCCACTGCCTCTGGCCACCCAGTTGTTCGCAGAGGCAACCCCTGTTAACAATTTTTTATATACTTTTCTAGAAATATTCTATATACACGTATATACGTGTTCTTTTTATTTAGTTTTTTAAATTTATTTAATGAGAGAGACAGAGTGAGTGAGTAGGGGAGAGGAAGAGAGAGAGAGAGAATATCTGAAACAGGGAGCTGTTAGCGTAGACCCGGTCATGGGCTCGATCGCACGAACCTCCAGATCAGGACCTGAGCCAAAATCAAGAGTTGGACGCTCAACTGACTGGGCCACACAGGCACTCTCTTTTTATTTAATTTTAATACAAATGGATGCATGCTCTACATTATATTTTTCTCTTTGTATTTTTAACACAAAATGGTAATATACCACGCACTATTATAAACAAGGTTGCTATGAATAATCTTATATTGTCATGCATGAGAATGTATCAGTAAGACAAAACCCTAGAGGTATACTTGCGGGGTCAAGGGTTGTAGGTATTATCTAGAGAGAGACCATTAAAAGGAAGCATCTCTTAATTCTGACCCTTTATTTACACAATGAATTGCTTGATCTCTTCAAATTACCTAAAACTTGTTTGAGCATGCAAATAAATACTATATGCTTTTTAACATTATAGAACCCTTCAATTATATTTTTATATTTTTGTGACAAAGAAACTGATCATGGGATTAATAATAACGATGAGTTTTCACAAGTGAAAGTGAGCCAGTGCAATCAGTTAACAAAATGCATAGAAGACAAGTGATAAAGGAGATGTGATTTAAAATTAGGTAATGACTGGATTGGATTCAGGTTAAATATTTTCGGCAAGGGTAGTTCAAAGGTGAAGGTGTATACTTCGTATCACAGGCAAGTAATGAATGCTAGGTCGTTCCTTGTTGCTGACACTGCTCTTTGTAGCATAAAGGTACGTTTTTTTCTTTTGCAGTTAAGTAAGCTGTCTCTGGGTAGATTAGTTCTGATAATTGGCAGGTTATTTCTGTTCCCCATTGACTTTACCAAGTGGTGTTATCATCGTTGATTCTTGCCTGGATTAATTACCTCAGGGGTGGCAAAAAGGTAATATTCTAATCTTACCACTCCTTTTGCTTATTAGCTGGCATTCTTCTGTAAAGAAAAGCTTTTTATTCCTTTTCTTTTCAGTTCTGTGGACACATGGATTTTTAGTTACTTATTGTTATAGTCAGTGACTATTTATTTTTATTTTTTTTTGGTGCTCCAAATTCACTGAATTGGCCCAGCAGCAGCAGCCCCTTCAGGATGGTCTCTGTGACCTTGAACCTCATCCGTTTAGTCTTTTAACATTTCCTTGCTTTTTCTGACACAACGCATGACATCTTAGGGTCTTTCAGACCACAGAACTACAATCAACCTATTCTTTAGGGAGCTTTGGTGCCTTTTACTGGAGGATGGTGCTGAAAGCCAAGAGTTAGGCTTTGGGTGTGCCCATTGCTGTTGGGATGTCATTTCTTTCAGTGGACAGAGCTAGAAGTACGTTTTAGTGATAAAGTAATACTGGTATTTTAAATTAAAAGTGATATTTAGAGTTTTTAAAATATCTTTTGTTTTATAGTAGTACGTTTTGAATCTTAATCGTAATATTTACTTATTTGCTGCTTTGTCTTTCAATATATAAAAAATTATTTCAAAATTACGCTTTCAATCTCTTACCTACCAGTAAGACTTCTGAGTGAAGTTTAAGTCTCTCGGGTTTCTTACTTTATTTATTTATTTATTTAACTTTAGAGAGAGGGAGAGGAGGGAGAGCATTTGAGTGGGAGTGGGGGAGGAGCGGAGGGGGGACAGAGAAAGAGACATTTTTTTTTTTTCAACGTTTATTTATTTTTGGGACAGAGAGAGACAGAGCATGAACGGGG